TGCGGTTTTACCCCTGAATGACGTCACATTTTCAATCTTTATCCTGGTGGGCCGGTCTCTAGTCAAAATGCCCGGGCCGATTTTTTGTCCCAGTCCAGCCTTGGAGGTGTCGTTTGGTCTTGCTTCCCGTGAGCTAGTCAGGGAGCACAGCTGTTTATTGATATTTGCAGACGAACGCTGCGCTAGCTAACTGCTCAGCGCGGCAACCGCACAGCAACAACAACACACAGGGCGCCCTCTGACCCCGGAAGGACACACCGTCGCAGCGAGAGGGCGTCACCCGTCACTATGGCAACATAAACAAAACATAACTGTACAAACAGAACCCCGAACAGCCCTGACCCGCTACATAGCCCCCACCTAAGGGGTCAGTCATCCCCGACGACCCCATTACCCCACACAAAGTCCTGCAAATGTCCAGGTGCCTTCTTTTGGCGCACCGGCCGGTCACGACCCGCGGGGGAAAAGTCACTCGGGTCAGAACCATCATCCCACTTCTGACACCAATGTGGCGAGCTTAGACAAGGAGGAGACGGAGGTGTCGTTTGGTCTTGCTTCCCATGAGCTAGCCAGGGAGCACAGCCGTTTATTGACATCTGCAGAAGAACACTGCCGCTAGCTAACTGCTCAGCGCGGCAACAGCACAGCAACAACAACATCAACACACAGGGCGCCCTCTGACCCCGGAAGGACACACCGTCGCAGCGAGAGGGCGTCACCCGTCACTATGGCAACATAAACAAAACATAACTGTACAAACAGAACCCCGAACAGCCCTGACCCGCTACAATATGCTGCTGAGAATATAGCCCAGAAGAAGCGTATAGTATAGTTTTTATTATGGAAAGAGCCATTTCTCTGTAATAAACTCTCTTTTCCAAAGATGAGTGATTCCTCAATCAGATACAGGGCTCGCAAAATCGCTAGCCCAACGTCCCGGGGCTAGCGATTTTTCCAGTCGGGCTACCAAAATCTATCTCTGGCCTGCCCGTTGGGCTATTGTAGGAAGGAAAAATATATGTCAATGCTTTTGCATTCTTTCGGAAATGTAGCTGGGTAATTATGTCATTGGCATCGATGAGCCACTGTCAATATGTGACATATTGAAATCGCGTTTGAATTTGCGCTTGTTTTTTGCTTTTACTTTGCAATCGCGCGAACTGTGTATAGAGAGCGACAGTACTGATTGGTGAGCGATGATAATTTGCGCACCAATTCCTCTGACATCGTCTTATCAATCGTTAGCTTACTATGCAAACATGATAAGTGAAATCTCCTGCAGCAAGCTTAAACATGTGAGAGGTTGATCGCGCAGAGAATCGCTGACCGTTATGTGTGTGTGTGTGTGTATAAAAGCAGCAGGATATATATTTTAGTTCTGCTGAGCCAAACAAGACAGGTCAGGGTGAAGAAGTGACAGCCAAAGAAAAGCTTACCACAAAATGGAAAAGTTATGACAAATCAGACTATAAGGCAAAAAGAAAGTGCAGCTTTATGGTTTCATGGACAAAATCATTTCTGTGGCTGCAATATGACAAGCTATATAACCGGGGCTACACATAAGTGGTCCGCAGGTGTGCATTCGCTGTCATAATAAAAAAAAAAAACCACGCACAAGATATGAAGTTGCAATGGTTAACGTAACCCCCTGGGTGCACTCTGCATGCTAATTGTTAGCAGAGCTAGTGAAATCTCTGAAAACATCTGAGCACTTTTGCAAACATGTTCTATGTTGACAACCTGACCAGACATACGTCGCGACATTCGCGGCTAAAACACTGTTAAAAGTGTAGTTGGTGACAGAAAAACGGGGTATTTTAAAACTACACCACCGCCATTGCTGCCTGTGATTTGATCTGCATTCTGGGATACCTGGCTGCCCCAAGTCTACACAAGCAATCGATTATCTAGGATCGACCTGTTTTGACTTACTTTGCACGGCAACCAATCAAATGTTAGAGAAGCTGCATGGGCAGCGTTAACCCCGCCCCCTGAGTTTGATGGGTGAGGCTGACAGATAAAATTATTTCAAGATGAGAGCCAGGCGCCAGGACTGCCAAAATGAAATAAATAAATATATCATTAAATAATCAATTAAATGTGTCAATAATTAATTACATGTGTCAATAATTAAAATGTGAAATACATGTGTCAATAATTAATTAATTACATGTGTCATAACTATTTATTTAATTAATTAATTCCCATTTTAATTATTGCCACATTTAATTAATTATTTAATGGTGTATTTAATTAATTCATTATGGCAGTCCTGGCGCTCCATACAAGTGGGGCAGCGTGTGTGGAGTTTTGGAGCGAGTGCAGCTGAAGAGGAGTGCGTGTGTGCGGAGGAGCTGTGGCGGTGATTGTGTGGAAGAGGAAGCGTGTGTGTGGATTCTCCCCCCCCCCCCTCCCCTTCTCTCCCTGGAGCCCTGGACCCCCCTCCCAACTCACTGTACATATATATAGCATTAAGGTGATCCCTGTTGTGAATAAATCTCCTTTTGTTCTCTGCGAAAGAACTGTCTGCGCGTGAGTCCGTTCAATAGCCATGACAATCCCCGTGCTGGGCAAACAGGTTTTGCAGCTGTTTGAGATAAGATTTTCAAGTTATTCAAAAAATGAAAATCTAAATTTTTGTTTCAGGCGAGAACTCCATTCAAATGCATGTATCAGTGAGAAACGCGCTGTCGTTGCCTGTTACCCACCAGCTGACCGCATTTTTATGTTTATTTTTTTTTTGTAACGTATAAACAATGAAAGGTGGTGGATTAGCCAATTGGTCATGATCAACTCTGGGCTGGACCAATTACAATACACATTAGGGGTTTTAGATACGGGCGACACGGGCGGTTGCCCGGGGCGGCATCGTGGTGGGGGGCGGCATCACGGGCATCGGCAAGGAAAAAAAAAGAAGAAAATACTCATACTCATGCTGCCCCGACGTCAGCCAGCGCATATTGGGAATGACATAGGCACCGATCAGTTTTCTCTCACCCATTTCCTGGGAGTAAGGGTGCCCTTCGTTTGCGAGGTGCGCCTGCTGCTTGTGGCGCAGAGAGGAGAGGGCGGGGCGGCGGGGGATTCTCTGACCGGCTGGAGCAGCATCTAATAACCAACTCGCAAAATAAAACAAAATAAAAACAAACCAACAAACACGAAAACACCAGACATTATAATACAGACTTATAATTTGCACCAATGTTTTTTCGAAATTCTATACACGAAAAGTGAGCGTGAGAGCCCTCGGTGCACCTGCTCGCTGCTGAAGTCAAAGTAAACTTTATTGTCATCTCCGCTACAGTCCAGTATATAGAGAGACGAGACGACGAGGCTCCAGTTACAGCAGTGCAAGTAAACAAACAATATATATAAGAAGAGTAAGAAAATAAATATACACTTTAGGACTAGGGATAAAGGGATCAATAACAATTTAAAATTTACAGTTTGATGATTTAAAGTCTCACACACAACCCGTTGAAAGGGGAGGGGGGCCGCTGCTTCCAAATAGAGCGCTTGTCATTTATAATGTTGTAAATCCAAGCTCATTATGTATTCATGATTTGAATCCTGGGTTGTGTGAAATCTCAGAAATGCATAATAGACAAAGTGAATCTGTGAACTAAGGTGCAGGTGTGTTAGATCATGTTGTGTTGATCGATCCTTGGGTTGAGGGATGGGTGTTCATACTAGAGTGCAAAATTAAAACCAATGGAAGATGGACAAGAAAAGTTCAGCCATCAGGTCCTCAGTTTAGAAAAAAGAGAAAAGAAGAGGAAGAGAAACGAGCAAAAGACACAGGTAAGCAGATGTGTCATTGGATAATGGCAGGTCATCCTGAAACAATCAGAAACAGAATCAGAATACTTTATTAATCCCTAAGGAAATTATGTGCGTTACAGTTGCTCCAAGAAGAAATGGTAAAAATAGTAACAGTAACAGACTAAACTCCAAACAATACATTATGTTACAGATCTTAATATTAATTAGTCATTGTCAATTGTTGATTTGTCCTGTTCTCATTGTATGACGAATTATGATGGCTGTTTGATAGCCGTTTGAAAACTATGCATACTCTCTCTCTCTTCATATAGGTGTGAGTGTACAACATCTTTATGTTAATGTACACTCTAATAAGTAAAACATTGGTTCAAATAAAAAAAACATGTTAACGTTTTCCACTAGAATTTTTGAGTTAAGCCAACTTCTGGCAGAATAACATTAATTCAAAGCAATATTTTTGAGTATGGTGAAGTAGCTTTTTTGGCCACAATTAAAAACATTCTTAAGTAAAATTAACTTAATAATTTTCGACTAGAACACAAAAATTTAAGTTGATCCAACGTGAATTTTATGTATAGTGAAGTTACTTTTTGGCCACAAAAAAAACCACATTCTGAGTAACATGAACTTAATAATTGTCAACAAATACACAGGAATTTAAGTTGATCCAAGATTATATTTATGTATGGTGAAGTAACTTTTTGATCAAAATAAAACACATTTATAATTAAAATGAACTTAACTGTCGGCATAAATAGTATTTATGTTGGTCAAATATGATATTTTGGTTACAGTGTAGTAATTTTTTGGTCCCACAGGAGATTCTATAAGGCCATTTACCTGTTTCCCAGCAGGCTAATTCGCTCCAAAATACAACCTTGATCATTTGGCTGTGTCTTATAACCATGACTACCGCGTAGGCAGGCTCATGCATGGTGGTGCCTGCCCACAAAGAAGTCAAGGTTCTAAGACCTTAGAAACTTGTCGATCACTTTTTTCCCCAAACGAACGTCAGCCTTAACATGGGCTGTGTGTGCGCTTGTGTCATGACCTTCAGAAAAAAGAAATGGATGTTGTGTGTATTTGTTTGAATGCGGCAGATGTGATGCCAAATACCTGGACATCAGCTAAGGGACTCGTACCTGGTGCTCAGAAAGAATAGAAATTCAGACAGATGTATTCAAATGAGTTAGACCCATTTAATTACAATAACAAACATCACAATTCTTTAACGTGCGTGCGAAGTGCAAGATTTGTGGGCTTCAGTTTCCTAGAACACAAATTGCCCGCTGAAACTTAAGGAACTGTGTATTAAAATTGTAATAAAACCTACTACTTGAATCCTCTTTTTTTTACTTTAACATGTGACAGTGAATCAAAACAATAGATGACAGGCTGCTATACATTAAATGCACTAATTTAAACATAAAATGAGCAAAGCTTCTTTCATTCAACTTTGTCAGCACTCTTACAAAGTATTCTTGATTCTCTTCTATATTTGACTTTTCACCCTCAAGATTAAGGCCAGCTAAAGAGGGCATTACACAAACTTTAAAACACACCAATACCCTCAGAACACAGGTCATGGGAGAAATTAAACGCATTCCTTAAAAATGTGCAAATAACAGCATTTAAGACACAGCAAACCATTAACTCAGAAGACTTAAGAACAGCGCTTTAAAATTTAGTAAAACACAATGAAGTAGTGCCAGAAATGCAGGAATAAGGTTTTTGTGAAACTCACTCACGAATGGTCTATCAAGTCTGCTCTAGAAAATACCAAACTTAAGATTCATTACTTTAGAGCTGGCTTTTTGTCCATCAAGCTCAAGGCATAGCTTTTGAAATACCTCAAAGGTAAATTTCAGCTGCTTGGGATAGGTAAGGTTCAGAGCGTAGATTACTCCCATCATCAAAGCACAGGATCTGGCAACATCAATCCTCTCCAGGATCTTGGATCCCTCAACGATGATGGTTGGAGGCCCATCACCAATGATAGCAATCTTCATGATTTGCATTGCAAGGTCTGCATTGAGCTCCTCCTCCATCCTTGTAGGAGAAATTAAATGTTAGGATGTATAAAATACATAGCTCAAGCACTTCAGGATGACGTGCATAAGGGAATGAACTACTACAGGTAGGAAAATAAGCCAAAACAGGTTGTCTTTTGTGTTTTTCAGTGATTTTACTTTGTCATTCTGTAATTTTTAAAAGCTAAATTAAACCATAATCCAACGTTTAAAATAAAAAATGTCTTGTTTTTCACAGTTTTGTTTTTCCACTTTGAAAAGAAAATCTAATAAATCATTTTTAAGGGTTATTCCACTTCTAAGTGAAATTTTATCTATTGCCATATTGCCACAGTTAGAAAGTGAGAAACAAGCCTTTTGTAAACAGCACACTAATTCTCCTGATCCGGAAGCAATCCATTTGCTTTAGCAGAGCACAAACAATGGAAGTGAATAGCAGGTGCTAGCATGTTGTGTGCAAAAGTGATTAAAATGACTAACAAAAATGAAAACAGTAATGAAAACAAATATTTCTTGGGAGCTCAGTATATATATCAGTTATAACCATGTGGAGGCTTACAGCAGTGCTTTGTCGTAATGTAGTCCCAAGTCTAAATCGGCTCCTGAAAATCCTTCATGTCAATTCATACTTTTCATTTGCAGTCAGCATGATTGTTGAGCTCCCCAGGAATACTTGGTATCATTATTGAGTGATTTTAATCACTTTTGCACACAAAATGCTAGTACCTGCCATTCACTTCCATTGTTTATGCTCTGCTAAAGCTGCTGCCAGATCAGGAAAATGACTGCGCTGGCTACAACATTTTTTATCCTGTGTGTTTATGTTGAACCTTATCACAGAAACAGGTTTCTATTCAGCAAATTATGTTCAATGACAATGGCAATAAACATCTTCGGATTGTAATTCTGAAATGCTTTTTTCTCACTTATACATGGCAATAGACATATCTTCACTTAGGGTTGGAATGTCCCTTAACTCATTCAGTGCCAGCCACTCTCAGATTTCATACTCCCCTCAGTGCCAGAGATATTTAGCTTTTCACTGATTTTGAAGGCTCACAGAATATTTTGTTCTATGACTATGTGAATTCTGAAACCACCATGACAAAAATGAGTCTCTCTTCTTTCAGCAGCAAAAAAAAAAATGTTTCTACCTCTGTTATTTAGAAATCTGCAGTAGAAAAGAGAAACTTTCATGACAAAACACCTGTTTCTGGATCAAAAGCGCTTTGTGTAAATAGGTTTTTCTAGCAGATCAGTGACTTTGATGTAAATATTTCGTGTTTCAATGATTCATGCAACATCTCAACTATGTTTTACTACTATGCAGTAAAAAAATCACCTGTAAAAATGTACTTTTGGCAGATTATTTTTTGTATAAAAATAGTTGTTTATAGACAATTTCAACATTTGAAAAATAGATAAGAAAAAAGCGACTGATTTATGATTCAGAGAGTCTGTGTGTGTGTGTTACTCCCGCACAAGTGAGTGCGCGACCCACCCGGCCATCGGTTCGTCTATCAACAATTTCTGTGCGTTTTATGCAGCAAATCGTTCATTATTCTGGTCCCTGCTGCCTTCAGAAGTTTCTAACAGGAGATACTGGTCAGATAAATCCGGTTCATGTTCACTGGAATCGCTAGAAAAACCATGACGTCAGGCTGCAGACACCTCAAGCTCGAAATGACGAGCTGGATCAAAAATCGCGCCACAATACTCGTTCTCAGTAGAGCGTTCGGATTCATTTTGACGTCTAAAGACGTCTATGGCACTGAATGACTTAAATACTCAACCCTGAACAGAAAATCCAATGAACAAAACACAAAGACCCAACAGAGACATGCATTCAAAACTAAACAAAAAATTAAAAGCCAACTCAAGTACTTGCGCTGTATTGTTTGAAAAGATCCTCCTCCTTCTCTCCAAGATAGACTATGAGGCAGCGAATAGCAATTTCTCTGCGCTTTTCAACTGTGTTGTCCTGATTGATAGAAAAAAATAGAAGGTGTTCAAAATACTCTTTTTCAGTGGAAAATGTGCCCACATTACAGAACTGACAACAGAAACTGAGTATTTCAGAGGTTCTCATTGTTGAGTGAGTTGAGTGTTTCCTTGATATGTGTGATTTTAGGCTACCCCATGACTTAAATGAACAAAAACAATCTAGGTAAGGACATGGCAGAGGCTGTACACTGGGGATATGGCGTAACCTATAATGTTTCATCAGCTCTTCCTTAGTGGAGGTTGCAAATTTACAGATTTTTGCAAGGCCAATCCATACTTCATGATTCTGAATTACTCAATTCAAGCTTACTTGTTAAAGCTTACTTCAGAAGGTCCCTTGGTATTCGATACCAGGAGAAGATGATGGTTTGAGCCTTTGTCCTGGCAAGAAACACAGCAAAGTAACTGAATATTTTGGTGAGATTCCCACTTTCTTTAGAAGGCTGACCACGTCTTAACTGGAACCCCTAGATCTGCAACGCCAGGACAGTGTATAACACCAGAAAGTTGTGCCTGCACAAAAATACAAAAGATGGTATTTTCAACTTCACCTGTGAGTCTTCAATACAGTGAATAAGTTTCACCTGTCAAAGCTGTGTGAGCTAGAACCAAACATTCAAAACTACATAGACCTGAATACACTGGGTGCTGGAAGGCCTAACGTGGCTTTCCATAGATCAAATATACATAGAGGTGACATGGACTGGGCCAGTCTGTTGGAGCGTGTATCCCCAACGACCGCGATCTTGGAGGGGTCTCCACTCGCCCCCAGTGCATGTATTTCTACTGAGGAATGTGTTAACTCAAAAAAAAAAAAAAAAAAAAAAAATGTATATATATATATATATATATATATATATATATATATATATATATATATATATATATATACACAGTGGGGCAAAAAAGTATTTAGTCAGTCACCGATTGTGCAAGTTCCCCCACCTAAAATGATGACAGAGGTCAGTAACTTGCACCAGAGGTACACTTCAACTGTGAGAGACAGAATGTGAAAAAAAAAAATCCATGAATCCACATGGTAGGATTTGTAAAGAATTTATTGGTAAATCAGGGTGGAAAATAAGTATTTGGTCAATAACAAAAATACAACTCAATACTTTGTAACATAACCTTTGTTGGCAATAACAGAGGTCAAACGTTTACTATAGGTCTTTACCAGGTTTGCACACACAGTAGCTGGTATTTTGGCCCATTCCTCCATGCAGATCTTCTCGAGAGCAGTGATGTTTTGGGGCTGTCGCCGAGCAACACGGACTTTCAACTCCCGCCACAGATTTTCTATGGGGTTGATGTCACGAATCGCTGTGCGGCAGGCAGGAGAAGGACCCAGGATGCAGACTCACAGGCACGGGGATAAACTTAAAGAACACAGCTTTAATGCTGGCACGGCAGAATACAGGAAATACAGAACCAACTGGGAAAAAGTAAACTAACATTCGCATGAAGGCACAGGAAGATCCACACAACATGAGAGATGACGTCACACTGAACAGAGGGAGACGCAGACAGAAATACACAGAGGGTTAACGAGGGAAGTGGGAGCACACGGGGAACACAGCTGACACAGATAATCATAACGAGACAGGGCAGGAGTGAACACAACATGACGCATACTGACGAGAGACTGTCAAAGTAAAACAGGAAGTACAGAGGTTCAGACAAGAGGAGAACACAGACATAACAGGCTGGGGAAAACATGGAATAAAACACGAAAGGGGACAAGGGCTCATGAATACATAGAGGGGCACACGGGGGGTGAGAGTCACAAAGGGAAAGCACACAGGGAACCACATAATAGGGCAACTCAGGAAACAGAACCTAAACAGGGAACTGAATACAAAAATACAAGAAAACTAAGAACACTGGGCCAACATGGCCCAGGACCATGACAGTACCCCCCCTCAAGGGCTGGCTCCAGACAGCCCAAACACAGAGAAACAAAACCAAACAGAAAACAACCCAGGGCGGGCGGCGGGGGCCCAGGACGGAGGGCTCGGAACAGAAAACAAAAGAGCACAGCAAACACCGGAGCCCAAGAAAATAACCCAAACACAGAGCAGTTCAGGGGGCCGACCGTGCGGAAGGCAACGGCGGAGACGTGGAAACAGTTCAGGAGGCCGACCGTGCGCAAGGCAACGGCGGCGACGTGGAAACAGTTCAGGAGGCCGACCGTGCGCAAGGCAACGGCGGCGACGTGGAAACAGTTCAGGAGGCCGACCGTGCGCAAGGCAACGGCGGCGACGTGGAAACAGTTCAGGAGGCCGGCCGCGCGCAAGGCAGCGGCGGCGGCGAAGGAGACGACGGAGCAGTTCAGGAGGCCGGCCGCGCGGAAGGCAGCGGCGGCGGCGAAGGAGACGACGGAGCAGTTCAGGAGGCCGGCCGCGCGGAAGGCAGCGGCGGCGGCGAAGGAGACGACGGAGCAGTTCAGGAGGCCGACCGCGCGGAAGGCAGCGGCGGCCCTCCAGTCTCAGGCGTGCTGGCCATGGCCTGGTGGGCACAGGGCCAGACGAGGCAGCTGATGCGGAGGCTGGACCAGACGAAGCAGCTGATGCGGAGGCTGGGCCAGACGAAGCAGCTGATGAGGAGGCTGGGCCAGACGAAGCAGCTGATGAGGAGGCTGGGCCAGACGAAGCAGCTGATGAGGATGCTGGGCCAGACGAAGCAGCTGATGAGGATGCTGGGCCAGACGAAGGCTCTGAGGAGGCTGCAGCAGACGAAGGCTCTGACGAGGACGCAGAGGCTGAGGCCGGGCCAGGCGAGGTTGCAGAGGCTGAGGCCGGGCCAGGCGATGACGAGGCGGTCGCAGATGGCGGCTGGACAGGCTCCTCGGGCCCTCCAGCTGATGCGGCGTGAGGCTGAACGGGCCCCTCGGACCCTCCAGCGGAGACAGGAGGCTGAACGGGCCCCTCGGACCCTCCAGCGGAGACGGGAGGCTGAACGGGCCCCTCGGACCCTCCAGCGGAGACGGGAGGCTGAACGGGCCCCTCGGACCCTCCAGCGGAGACGAGGAGGTGCTGGCCGGGCTCACTGGAACCCCCAGCGGACGAGGTAGATGGCGGCGTGGGAGCCGCGGAGTCCTGGATGAGCTCATCCGAGCTCCCAGCAGGAGCTGATGTAGAGCCAGAGAGGTTTGGGACCCCTGGCTGAACGTTAAGCTGGCTAGAAAACCGCACTGCTACGGGGAACAGGGCCAAGGGTTCAGGTGGGACCTGAGCTGCTGGACACACGGGGACCTGAGCTGCTGGACACACGGGGACCTGAGCTGCTGGACACACGGGGACCTGAGCTGCTGGACACACGGGGACCTGAGCTGCTGTCTGTAGTAACGGTGGTGGTGAGAGTGGAGTAGGTAGTGGAGTTAATGACTTCACAGGGGAACGAACTAGAGGTAGTGACGGTTGTGGTGCTGGTGGTTGAGTGGGTGACTGTGCTAAAGGAGGCTGCACTGGGGACACTGGAGACCGCACTGGGGACACTGGAGACCGCACTGGGGACACTGGAGACTGCAGTGATGGTTGTGGTGGAGGTGTAACGGGTGAAGGAGTGGCTGAAGTGGCTGTGGGTCGGGCGGCTAGTGGCTCAGCTACAGGGTATGGTAACGGCAGGGCTATGGGTTGAGTGTCTACCTGAGTAGCAGCCTGAATGGCTGGGTGTAGTGATGGTGGTGGTGGAAGGGAAACAGGTGGTAGTGTGGATGACGGAACTAAGGGCGACTGAGTGGCAGACCGAACTGATGACTGAAGCGATGGTAGAGGTGAAAACGGAGCGTGTGGTGGAGTTAATGGCTGAGCTAGCGGGGACACAGGAGACTGAACTGAGGGTGGCTGCGCGGGAGCTAACTGAGCTGAGGGTGGCTGCGAGGGAGCTAACTGAGCTGAGGGTGGCTGCGAGGGAGCTAACTGAGCTGAGGGTGGCTGCGAGGGAGCTAACTGAGCTGAGGGTGGCTGCGAGGGAGCTAACTGAGCTGAGGGTGGCTGCGAGGGAGCTAACTGAGCTGTCGATAAGGCTGATGATTCCTCTACCAACTGAGCTATTGACTGGGCTAAGGATTGAAATAAGGTTTGTAGTAAGTCAGGCTGTGGATGTGACTGTGCTATGGGAAGCGAGGCTGAATGTGGTGGAGGTGGCGACTGAGCTTCGGGCCGGGCGGCTAACAGAGCTTCGGGCCGGGCGGCTAACAGAGCTTCGGGCCGGGCGGCTAACAGAGCTTCGGGCCGGGCGGCTAACAGAGCTTGGGGCGAAAATGGTGGTGGTGGAGTTGGTGTCTGGGCTACAGGTGGCTTCTGAGCAGGAAACACAGGACACTGAGCTACAGGTGGCTGCTGAGCAGGGGACTGAGCTGAAAGCGGACGGGCAGCTGACTGAATAAACATAGCTCCAGAATAAACAGTTCCAGATGAAACAGTCTTAACTCCTGGGTCCGAAGGAGCATCAGAAGCACAGTCTTTTGAACCAAAGTGGAAACGATCGCTCTCAAAATAAATACTGTCGTTTTCTGGAACAGGAGGAACAGAAGATCTAGAGTTCATGAAGCCGACGTTAGCGGCCTTGGGGGAAACGGTACGTTTATCCCTCGACACAGAAGGCGAATGTAGGGGGACTTTGTCACTCACCCTAGGCGGTTGGTCGAGAAGAGTCCCAGGCTCCTGCTGTGAAGTGGAAACGCTGGGTGAGTCGGGCGGCACGATAATAATCCCTAACATCTTGTAGAAGGCTTGTGCAGGCGTGAGCTGATTGCTTGCAGGCTCGTAGTAATCCTCCCGGGACCGGCTGGAGCGTTTTCTGCGAGACCTGGGCGTCCGCGGAGAGGAAGCAGGTGAGTGGACCGAAGGGTAAGCAGCTAGTGAGGAGCGGCAGCACGGAGGCCCTCCAAGCGCTAGCCGAGTCCCGTCAAAACGGGAGCTGCGCTTCCACGGTGAGTCCGCTGGATCCATTACTGGTGACGTCGTACTGTCACGAATCGCTGTGCGGCAGGCAGGAGAAGGACCCAGGATGCAGACTCACAGGCACGGGGATAAACTTAAAGAACACAGCTTTAATGCTGGCACGGCAGAATACAGGAAATACAGAACCAACTGGGAAAAAGTAAACTAACATTCGCATGAAGGCACAGGAAGATCCACACAACATGAGAGACGACGTCACACTGAACAGAGGGAGACGCAGACAGAAATACACAGAGGGTTAACGAGGGAAGTGGGAGCACACGGGGAACACAGCTGACACAGATAATCATAACGAGACAGGGCAGGAGTGAACACAACATGACGCATACTGACGAGAGACTGTCAAAGTAAAACAGGAAGTACAGAGGTTCAGACAAGAGGAGAACACAGACATAACAGGCTGGGGAAAACATGGAATAAAACACGAAAGGGGACAAGGGCTCATGAATACATAGAGGGGCACACGGGGGGTGAGAGTCACAAAGGGAAAGCACACAGGGAACCACATAATAGGGCAACTCAGGAAACAG